GCGCTTACTAAATTATGTTTTTGGGGATGATAGTTATAAGATTATTCCCTATTAAATTTTGCACTGTTACAGCTCATTTAACAAATAATATGGTTGGTTAAAAATTGTGTTAGTAATAAACCTTGTTGTAAACCTCATCTGCACTATTCAGTGTTTTATGCAAGATGTGTCGTCAGTAGTTTGAGTCATTTTTATCGAATTTCCCATAGAGGGAATAAGCTATTCCCGTACTACTCATGGTAAGACCTAGTCCCGGGAACCCGGCTGCGCTCACTTGCCTTCAGGTTAGCTCGTTCGCTACGCTAACTCGCCTCCAGGTTGAAGTTCGTTCGCTACGCTCACTCACCTTTTGGTTGCAAATTAGCTGTTGTCATAAATTAAAAAAATAATAGTTCTGTACCGATTTGGTAAACCTATTAACTTTTTCATGCTATTGAACACCACGGAATCCAATTGTTTAGTTGAACCAGCTGTTAAGATTCTGTAATTCCATTTAAATATGACTACTCATAAGGTTAACATGGGAAACTCCAGAGCCACTGGGGCGGAGCCCTTTTGACGGATCTGCACCAAGCTTCACACAAACCATCCTTAATTAATGCTTAATAATGCCTGAAAGTTTCATTACAATCTGTCGAGCGGTTTCGGAGTCCATAAAGGACAAACAAACAAACAAACATACATTGGATTTTATATATATAGATATACAGTACAGTAGACTCTTGATAATTCGAAATTGGTGGGCCAAGCATATAAATTTGAATTATCAAGAGTTTTGAATTATCAAGAGTTCGATTTATCAGGAGAAAAATAAACCATTCGAATTACAGAGAGTTCATTTGTTTAATATATACAAAGGTACAGCACGTTAGAATAAAACATCATACCGCATTTTAGTACACTTTTAAACAATCAACGGCTTGTTTTTCAGTTACTCTAGTTGCAAAGAAATCTGTTATTTAGCGCTATATATTTCGCCAATAGCTGAACTATCAGCTGTCGACAACTACGTTTGTGCTCAAGGAGATGTCGCGCAATCTAGAGATCGGATTGCCAACTTAAACAAGCCAGCGAACTCAGACTAATGCTCTAACTAAACAAACATCAAAACGTCCAACACTAGCCTACCATGGGAACAGGATGTACTGTACTGTATAGTTTCCTGTTATAACAGGAAGAGATCACTTCGAATTATAGAGTGTTTTGCCGACTAAACTTCGAATTACTGCGTGACTTTGATTTATAGAGTGTTTTTTCGACGAAACTTCGAATTACAGCATGACTTCGAATTATAGAGTGTTAACCGACGAAACTTCGAATTACTGAGTTACTTCGAATTATAGAGTGTTTTTCCGACAAAACTTCGAATTACTGCGTGTTACAAATTGACTTGCCCTCTATTTGGACTTTGAAATACCGAGTGTATCAAAATGCATGGTAAAAATTTGAAATATTGAGAGATTCTCTAGGGACTGAGCCTTCATTTTGAATTATCGAAAGTTTTGAATTATCAAGTGTTTGAATTACCAAGAGTGGACTGTATATGTGTGTCCGTTAGAGCAACAAAATTCAAGCAAAAATGATCCGATTTTGATGAAATTTGGTACAAACGTGTTAACCTACCTTTATTCAAACGAGTTCGCGAACCAGCATAATCGGACCATGGGAACAGGGGTTTATGGGGTGTTTTATGGGGTAAAAAATGGGGTTTTCCCATTTTCGACCCTAAATCAACAAATTTTGGAATTTTTTTGTAAACCGTTTTGTAGAGCTTAAAAAAATAAATAATTTTGTATATTGAAGCGCTGTTGTATGCATAACTGTCATGGAGAAAATTCAAAAATAGTGTAATTTAAAATTCCCATGTTATTCCTATGGAGAAAATGAAAACTGTTGTAGTTTACTTGTTTATGGATATATATTGATAAAATTGGCAAATTTATTTATTTCATACGATACTATTGACGTATGGTCAAAAACACTTTTTACCTTCCCCGTAGCAGCAAACCTAAACACTCATTAAATCTAATGTTATTTAAATTGGGAATAAATATGTCTTATTTATAGAAATATTTTAGTAAAAACTAGCTGTAACCCGCGGGCTTCGCCCCGTTTAACTTCTTAATTTTCAAGATGATCTCGTTCGCATGGCTCAATCACGTCCTGGTTGAACCAATCACTACGCTCACTCACCTTTAGGTTGGAGCTCGTTTGCTACGCTCACTCACCTTTAGGTTGGATCTCGTTCGCTGCGCTCACTTGCCTTCAGGTTAGCACGTTCGCTACACTCACTTGCCTTCAGGTTAGCTCGTTCGCTACGCTAACTCGCCTCCAGGTTGAAGTTCGTTCGCTACGCTCACTCACCTTTTCTTTGCAAATTAGCTGTTGTCATAAATGTAAAAGAAATAATAGTGCTGCACCCTGTTGGTAATCCTTGTAACTTTAATGCTATTGAACATCATAGAACAGAACCAAATTGTTTAATTGAAACAGCTGTTAAGATTTATTAATTCCATTTCTCATAAGGTTAACATGGGAAACTCCAGAGCCACTGGGGCGGAGCCGATTGGACGGATCACGGAATTGATGGTGTATAAACCTATTCCATGAAATTCTACACGTATGTACCAAGTTTCGTGGCAATCGGTTCAGTGGTGTCTGAGTTTATCACTGCCAAACATATATATATCTTACTAATATTATAAATGTGAAAGTTTGTGTGTTTGTTTGTTTGTTTGTTTGTTTGAAGTTCAATCACGCATTAACTACTGGACGGATTGGGCTGAAATTTTGCATGATGATACCTCATATTCCCGATTAACATATAGGCATATTCTTATCTCAAAAACCCTATCGGGCTCCGCCCCAGTGGCTCTGAAGTTCCCCATGTTAACCTTATGAGTATTCATATTTAAAGGGAATTAAAGAATTTAGTCAGCTGTTTCAACTAAAAAAGTTGGTTCTATGATATGGAAAGTATTAAAAAGTTATGAGATTTACCAACAGGGTGCAGCACTATTATTTTTTTGCATTTATGAAAACAGCTTATTTGAACTAAGTAGCAACAAAAAACAGTGATTGGCAATGAGAACTAACTGTCAAAGTAGGATTGTTTACTGTTATGTTTATGTTTTTAATTGCATGAATAATTTGTGATGTTTTGCAAAGTTTTAATTATTTATTTTTCTCTATTGTTTAGGTGCAGTGGTAGAACATTATGGCTATGGTAGATGTGTAATACTATAGTATAGCGTAAATTTTATTATAGTAAACAGTTTTGTTCAAATGTGTCCTACCCCATTGCAAAAGCTAAGTTAGAGTATAACACTGCAATAAACATTTTGCACTTATATGCCAACCCCGTACGAAGGACGGGTACTCAGCTAGTATATATATATATATACAAACATCCTCTTTTATACTTATAGATTGGGCACGGTTTTAGGTGTTATAAATGGAGTTTATCACTGCCAAACAAATATATATATATATACAAACATCCTCTTTTATACTTATAGATGTAATCAGAAAAGTTGAAATTCGCTTAGTCTGCAGGTTTGCTGCGGCGGGGGTATTTAATTGAGTAACTATTTAGCTAACATAAAGATAGTTAGTTACTATTGCAAAGGCCTGTTTACGAGAGAAACAGGCTTAAACATATACTTTATTAGTATATATTTCATAACAAGAGTAGAAAGTGAGTCATTACATATTTAAGACCATTATGTTTAAGTGCAAGACTTATCAAGCACTTAAATATGGTAAAGAATACGTAAAATTACCCACTTTCACTCATGTTTTGAACGTTTTTTCTCGCTAAACTACAAAGACTAATAAAAAAAAAATTAAAATAGACATTGGAATATATTTCTATTGCAGTTGGGAACATGTTAAAACTAATAGAATTTTGTAGGCTATGCCTTCTAAAGCCTCGTTCACACGGGGCGAGTTTACAAGCTACTGGCCAGCGTGTAAGAAGCCGGCAAGTCGACGAGTGTGCTTGTATTCGTTCACACGCAGCTTTTCCACTCACCAACTCGACGTGTAGATAGACATCGCGGCGAGTGCGCTTGAAGTCGTTCGTACGATACTTTTTCCACTCGCTCAGTAGCTGGCTTGAACCAAATCCTCCGACATCTTTGAATAACATGCCCACAAGCAACTGTGTTCACACTGGGCTACTTTACACGCCTTCTCTTTCAAATGCTGGCGAGTTGGCGTGCAAAGTAGCCACAAGGTCCATAAAGGACAAACAAACAAACAAACATACATACATACAAACAAACATACATTGGATTTTATATATATAGATATATGAATTTGAACGGACGGTGTTTTTGGCCTCTAGGGACCTCAAAACGTAAAAGTAAATCGGTCCCGGGTCCAGGTCTTATTCTCTATATGGGAAATTCGCTAAAAACTAAAACTTGTCACCAATCATCCTAACATAAAATAAAAGTCTTCCTCCCACAACAGTGCTAATTAATTGTTACAATTGTTCTTACTGTATTTGTATATGGATTCGGCCACAATAAGAAGAAAATGGATAGATTTTTAATCACTTTAGAATGTCAAAAACAACAACTTGATGGGAATAAAACTATGTCTAAAAAATAAATTGTAACTATCTGTAGAAAGGAAAATAGTTGTTGCATTTACAATCTGTTTTCATTCTAGCCCAGAACGTGTCTGTTTAAAAAGTGGTTTATCATTTAAAATCATGCTACTTTCAAATACAGTTATTGTATTTCATTTTCACATTTTTATAAACATTTTTTGTAAAGAAAACAAAAATCTGTTTTTGGAAATATTATTGTGTCTAATCATACACAAACGAGACAATAGGTTACATATTTTAGGCTTATAAAACTATTTTACTATCCTTGTAATCACTCTCTAAAATCACTTTATGGTACCGTAGTATTTAAACATAATTTATACTATTCAAATATCTTTAGTAAGAGTCCATATATTGAGTGTTTGTGCTGTGTTGTGTACAGTACACAAGGCCCACAGAGAGGAGCTGGAGGCAGTGTTGTTGATGCTAGACAAGATCCTCATCTTCTGTCCAGAACTTGTCTCCCGCAGATGGCAACTTCACAGTCTCACTCGCATCCTCACTAAACTGCTGCATCCGGGCAATTCATGGAAACTGCGACGGGAAGCGATCAGGTACAACTCATAATCACATACTTGGGTTGGTATATAATGAGTTTGGAACATCAGCATATTTCATAGTCAATGCTGAGGCTCATGTAACAGGAATTTCTGCTCAGTGGCGTAGCAGCCGTGGAGCGGGTGGAGTAGTCGCTCCAGGACAAAAATTAAAGTACAATCTTACTTCTTCTCTTTCAATCCTTGAACCTCATTGGTCTGTTACCGGTGTTGATATGAGTAAAACGATGCCATTTTGAAAGTAAATAATGCTGTTATGAGAAACTTTTCAATTCTAAGAACTGTATGAAACGGCTACTTAAAAAAACTGTCGTAGGTAAATTATTTAACAGCTGACTGATGTACAGTATTGTTATTTTATTGATTTTTCTTTGTTTGCATGTTGTCTTTCACAATTTTCATTTGTGGTTTAAGTGTGTTCCTTATGTTATGTGTGTGATTATAAAATTATGTGCTTAATATGTACCATTTATATTAATGAGTAATGTGGTGTATGTATTTCATAACCATTATTTTACTAGAGACCGTTGTATACAACCATAATGGCCTCTGTTGCTAGTTATTATAATAAACTATAAATATCTATGCAATTATAACATTTGTCGTAAATCATTATTCGTTGATGTCAATGCTGTGCTCACTACAGTCTAGAAGCGTATCGGCGACGCATGCAAAGATTATTAATTGCGGCACACTGTGTGCTGGGGTTTGCTTGTCCTATGAACTACAAATGATCCCACATTAAGTTATAATAAGCCTTGTTTATGAGTGGCTAGTTACTTAAGTATTGCAATTGAATTCATTGGACTTATTGTTAAACTGTGATTTGAAATTAGGAAAGGAATGTTTCTGGCTTTCAGGTAACATCCTACATAAACAATTTATAAACCAGAAAAAATCATAATACAATTTAAAAGATACAAAAAAATATTTTCTTTTACTTCAAAATATACTTTTTGATTTTTTATATTTGAAATATAGTTGTTGAGAGTTTTGTACAACTATTTTCCCCGGGGATTGGGTGAAGATTTTGGTCACACTTGTGAAATTTGCCATTTTTTGTTTTTGGGTCATAACTTTCTAAAAAAAATTGTACCGGTCATTGATTTTTTTTTACATTTCCATATAGGGAAATAAATTCCAAACATCAAACATTTTTGGTTCATGCAGGAAAATTTTACTTTCAAAATTTCAAAATAAAAAAAACAGTTTTTATTTTATTTTTCTACCATTATGTCAATACATACCGGTACTGTTCTAATTATTTATTCTGCGGTCATTTTTAAATTCAAGTATGTGGTTTAATAGGTTTGCTTTATTGGTTTAATTTATATGAATTTGTGAAAATAAGACTGCAAAATCATCATTAATGAATTTTTTTTTTCATCAGGCATATTAACCACTATTTTAATACTTAAATTAGTTAACAAACTATTAAGCTGGATTCACTTCAGGCCAAACTTTACATGTTATCTCATATTATTTGTTAAGATTTTTTTCAGCATTGTACAATATTTCTGTTATTTTCATATAAGGCTTATTTATAGGATATGTTCATTCCTTAGATTTTTCCTTCTCTGGTACCAAGCACTAGGAGACAACAGTCCGGACTCTGTTCATGCCATGTTTGCCACCTTGGTGCCTGGCTTCCCGAGCTGCTTTCCGGAACATCCAGGATTGTCTGGCCTCTCCAGCCTTTCCTCAGCCACGGTGTTTCATGATGTTGCTCAGGGTAAGTAACAACATTGCACACACTTAAATTGTAAAGATCTATACGTGATAAGGTTTTTTTTTAAAGATTTATTGTTCATATCTGATATTCCAAAGCAAACATAAAAAACATTTATCAACATAGCCTGTTCTATAACCTTTTAGAAAAGGTTTATATTATTTGCAATGTGTTTGCAGATAATTCATTAGAAGCTTAATCCAATTCAAAATCTATCAGTCACAGGACAAGATCACAATCGCTGAAGATTCACTATTTATGTTTGACAATTTCATTTTGAATTTAACGAATTTACTATTTAGGAAAAATACTTTTACCATAGGTCTTATGGTAAGTAAGACCTGGACTCGGGACCAATTTACCTTTTTGTTTTTTGTCTTCAAAGGCCAAAAACACCTTCCAGTGAAATTCATATATTAAATATGTGTGTGTGTGTGTGTGTGTGTGTGTGTGTGTGTGTGCCTCATAATTAACACAATAACTCGAGTAAAAATAACTTAATTTATATCAAATTTGGACAAATGTTAAACATGTTCGCTATCGATCTTTGTATATATGCAACACTGCGGTCACTGCCATTGACCGAGGTATACATTTGAATATTACACATAGACCTGTCACTTGATTAACAGTACACGCAGACCACGAGCCAGTGATGCAGCAAAGTAAAATACCCCCACCGCAGCAAACCTGCAGTCTAAGTGAATTTCCATTAGCCTGATTGGATTTACACTAAAATATCTCCTTAAAAATATCACATTTATTCTCTATTTAAATATAATTATTTTAACAAGTACTTAGGTTTGCTGCAACAGGGAGGGTAAATAAGTGATTTTTTTTTTTGTAAAATGTTAATAGTTTAGTAAGAAATGAATGTCTTTCTCCCATGAATACGGGAAGTATTCATGATTTTGCCGCGATCTTGGAAGACGACGATGACGCCTTGGGAGATGCCGTGCCATCGTGCCAAGCTTAAGTGCAAGTTTAGGCGGTAATACATGCGATAATGTTTTTGCAGATTATTGGAAGATGGGGCCCGGCAAACAAACTTGCAGGGGGGGGGGCCTGCGGGCTCTTATCACCGCCACTGAAACTTATAACTGGTGATAGTTCCTTCAATCAAGGTTGCTGTCATTTTTTTAATCGTCAGTCTGGTTCCGTTGTACAGCTTGCGTGGATTTAAGTTTCACATTAGTATTATTCCTTCTTTTAATGTGGTGGGTTAATGACAAATTGGGAGGCATTTGAATACAGTAGAACCTCTTTAATCCGAACTAATTGGGAACGGGGATAGTTCGGACTACTGAATAGTTCGGATTACAGAACATATTGTTGTTTTTACATAACAATAGCTTTTGATAATTTTCCTAAATGGTAAAATGGTATTTGCAATCTGAGTGACGTCAGCATATGACAGGAATAGCACTTCCTTCCACCATGATTTGGACTTATTCAAAAGTAAAATAGTTTTCTGTGCTCCATTCTGTGGAAACATTGTGGCACTATTTCAATTCATGACTAATACAAGATTAGCCTATTATCGTCTGCCGTGATTGCAAAAACACCTATGACATCATCAGATAACAACATCATTGTCTCCCGTGTTCACGGCCCAATCCCTAATATATCCTGCGGTCCATGGTGACGGTGAAATAATTTTTTCTGCAATCACGGCAAAATTCTAGATACGGTAACGTCCCACAAACTCGGCGTAATCTGGACTGGATGGGTGCCGAGTTTGTGAAATGCCGGGTTATCGGGAACAAGGTTCAAAAATAAGAAAATTACAGTTTTTAAGCTTTTTAACCGCCTTTTTAATTTATATTTATATTACAAGTCAGTATTAAGTCATCAGATATGGTACAACAAATCCTTAGTACCAGTTGCGAATAATTTGACTTAAGCTGGCTTGAGTCCATGATATTAATTTGGACTTAAAAATTACAAATTTTCTGAGCCAGGCGATGGCCGAGTTATTCAGACTGCCGGGTTATCGAGTGCCGAGTTTGCGGGACTCTACTGTATATAAACACATCAATGATAACTATACATACACAACTATCACCAAAACAAACTATATTTAAGCTGGGATATATCCCTCGCGGAAAAAGAAACGTCATTATCGTCTTCCGTAATCACGGCAAAATATTAAACATCTCCTGCGGCAGCCGACCGCGGAGACATTGTCATTTTCACCCGCGGAGAATAGATCTCGTTGATATCCGCGATCACAGTAAAAGCGTAGTGTTGAGATAAAAAATGATTTACTCAGTCAGTTACAGCTGTATATGAAATTCTTATTATTGTAATGTTTGTTATGTTTAAGTTGTTATGTAAACAAACTATTAGTCTATTAAATGGTTCTTTAACAGTTCTTACTTTTCTTTTATCCCACTAGCAAAATCAGTTTATTACAACAGGTTATGGTGGCCCAGACTCCCAAATAACTGTGTTTATTTATTGGATTTGTTAGTAGGATGTATGTGAAAGAAACTGTGATTGATTGTTATTTGTCTTTTTGAAAAATCTTGTTCAGTTGTCTTCAAGTGTTTTGTCTACCATGGAAGTTTCTAAAGTTTATGTAGTTGATAAACTGGAGGGTCAATCCAATTGGATAGATTGGAAATTTCAAGTAGTCATACAGTTTCGAGTTCATGGTATAATGGAAGCTGTTGAAGGAAAGCTTGTATACCCTGAGAAACCAGGTGAAGATGAAGATGCTTCAAAGATGGACAAATATCAGAAACAGGTTGCTGTACTTGAAAAGAAAGAATTTTCGGCACAGAATATTATTGTTTCATCTGTTAGCAGTCAAGTAAGGCAGCTTATAAATATGTGTTCAACTGCACAGGAAATGTGGGGGAAACTTTTGAGTATTTTTGAACAGAGAACTGAACAGAGACAAGACCGTCTGTTTAATGAATTCTTTGGAATTAAGGAAAAGGACTCACATGACAGTGTAGCGAAACACATAGCAAAGCTGGAAAAACTTTGGGTTGAGCTACAGGACGAAACTTGGAAAGAAGATAAAGTTAAGCTTCCTGATTCATTATTCCCAAATAGGGTGTTGAATACGTTGCCCTGTGAATATAGTGAATTCATTAACGCTTGGGAGTCTGTAACGAAGGATCAGAGGACACTGTCATTACTGAGAGAGAGACTGTGTACGGTTGAAATGAGAATGAAGGAGCGAGAAGTTGGAGGTGTAAAGGAGTCTAATGCTGCATTTTACACTGGTTCAAAACATAAAACTTTCTCACAAACTAACTCTAACCGTGTGAAATCAACATCAAGCATAATTACCGTCAGTGATGTTGGAGCTGAAAATAAGAAAAAGAAATGGAGGCCTAAATGCTTTTTATGTAACCAGCTTGGTCACATAAAGAGGGATTGCCCTAATGTCAAACAGTCACTAAAACCTGGAAGTGCTTTTGTTGGACATTGTGATCGCTCACAAGAATGCATCGAAGAATGTAATTGGATTGCAGATTCTGGAGCTACGCAGCACATGACAATGAACAGATCATGGTTTGTGACGTACGAGGCATTTTCAACAGTTAAGCATGTTGGAGTTGGAAATGGTCAAACCATGGAAGCACTCGGCAAGGGAAACATAATTGTAGAGATGATTGTGGGAGGAAAATGCCAGAGAAATCATTTGGAAGATGTTTGGTATGTTCCTGAAGTAGGCAAGAACTTATTTTCAATTTCCTCTACGTTGGACAAAGGTATAATTCCTACTTTCAGCAAGGACAAATGTAATTTTTTCAAGAATGGTGTTTTGGTTGCTCAATCACATAGAAAGAATGGATTTTTCATTATGAATATGAAAGTTATTCATATTAAAGATGCTGAAGTTCAAGTTGCTTTGAGAGATGATTTACAACTGTGGCATGAGAGATTAGGGCATCAAAATAAGCGTTATGTTTTGACAAACCTGAAGAAAAATGGTATTGAATTCTCATATTCAGGTACTAAGTCTGAGATATGCGACGCTTGTATTGTTGGAAAAATGTCTATCATTTTATTGGAAAATCGGTTGAGTTTTGGTACTCGCAAAGAACTTGTTAATCAACCTGGTGATTGCATAAATGCTGATGTTTGTGGCTCAATGCCTGTGTTATCAGTTGGTGGCGATCGATATTTTGTTGACTTCAAGGAGCCTGTGGAACAAAACAAAAAGTTTCCTACAAGTGAAACCAACTCTTCAACAACTGCAAGTTTATGTGACGAAGAAGGACAGAGGTATAGTTTCAGAGACAGATCAAAATTGAAGCCTCTTGTGAAACCTGCTGATTGTGCCCTTCTGACATGTGTTGCAGAACCTACTAAGTGCAAGGAAGCGGTGACATGCAAGGATTCTCATCATTGGATCAAGGCGATGGATGACGAAATAAAGGTGCTTAGTCCAGTGTTCTGGTGTAGTAAACGTCAGAAATGTGTAGCTTTGTCAACTACAGAATTTGAGTTGATTGCTGCAGATTGCTGCAAGTTTGGCTGTAGGGGAAGCAGTGTGGCTCAAGAGAATACTTCGAGATGTAAGGATACATGAGCAGCAGTTTTCTTGTCTGAGTAAAGTGTCATTTTTTAGGGGAAGTGTTGAGATAAAAAATGATTTACTCAGTCAGTTACAGCTGTATATGAAATTCTTATTATTGTAATGTTTGTTATGTTTAAGTTGTTATGTAAACAAACTATTAGTCTATTAAATGGTTCTTTAACAGTTCGTACTTTTCTTTTATCCCACTAGCAAAATCAGTTTATTACAACACGTAGGCTTAATCTTTCAATTTCGTGAGCGTGATCCTTGCGGACATAAAATCTTTTACTTTTAATTTGGGCATTATTGTATTTAGTACTGAGAAAAACGGCTCAAGCTTGATTTTCTGACTTAGTTCTTGATCTCTCAAGCTTGTAGGCCAGGCTCTGCTCGGCTCGAAAAAATAAATGATATAAAAATAACAACAAGTAAACTCAACAAGTAAAATCTTTTACCTGAATCGAAGTAAACAAATTTAAAGTGCAGCCTTCAATAGTACAAAATTAAATGAAATGTAAATTCTTCTTTAGCATAAATGAGAGAATGGAATTATTTATTAGCTAGTGCCCTACTAGCCACCCAAGTTAATTCGCCGATTTGATTGTAAAAAAATTGTAAAAGTTCATTTAGTTGAATCAGCATATAGGGCCCTCTCTGGTGTGACCTGCCGAGCCTAGGAGGATTAACATTAATGTTTTATCCTTCTAGGCCGAGATCCACATTGGTTCTAAATACAGCTCTATTATAGCGCCTTCATACAGTCACGAGGACAGTTGATGCAACCTGCAAGACTGATGACAATTCTTTTACTTAGGTTGGTAGAGAATTGATATTGATCGGTCAAGTAATAGTGTCAGTTTAGCTGTTGTACGTGCTCGTTAGTTGTAAACTACGTCACTACTTGTCCTATTGCTCTTACAGGTTTTTAACAAATTTTCGTCATAAAAAAACGTATGGTAATTCTCATATAAATGTTGTTATGATAGGTGTGGCTGAGCCTGTCGCACAATCGCGGGCCCAAAATCCCGGTCAATGCTCACGGGCTCCCCTAGCTCGCGGGCCCCACCGCACCGCATGATAAATTTATTGGAGAAATAATCTTAATCCCAAGAATACCGATGATTTCATCCGAATTACCCTTTGAATTCAAACAAATACAATTCCTTGCTTTCGCAATCACCATTATAAGGCACAAGAGCAATCCCTGACTATAGCCGGTTTAAATTTAGAAAATTCATGCTTTTCACACAGACGGTTCTATGATATTCAATGGCATTAAAAAGTTATAAGGCTTACCAACAGGTTGCAGCACTATTAATCTTTTTGCTTTTATGACAACATCTAATTTGAACCAAGCAGCAAAAAAAAACTGTGAGAACTTTACTTTTGTCTATTGTTTAGGTGCAGTGAATGTGGTATAACATTATGGCTATGGTAGATGTGCTATACCATAGTATACCTAAATTAATACCCCCGACGCAGCAAACCTGCAGACTTAGCGAATTTCCATTTGCCTGATTGGATTTAAACTAAAATGTCTCCTTAAAAATATCACATTTATTCCCTATTTAAACAGAATTATTTTAACAGGTTTGCTGCAACAGGGAGGGTAAAAAAGTATTTTTTATGTAAAATATTAAAAGGAATGTTAAAAAAGGTACTGTGGTTTAGTAAGAAATTAATGTATTTTCCAAATTTGATCAAAATATGTTCATAAACAAGCAAACTACAACAGTTGACTTATTCTCCATAAGAATAATGGGAAATTTAAAATTAAAATTTTTTTGAATTTTCTCCGTAACAGTTAGGCGCATAACGCTCCAATATACTAAATTATTTGTTTTTTTAAGCTCTACTAAATGGTTTAAAATGAAATTGTGAAATTTTGTGTTTATAGGGTCAAAAATGGGAAAAACCTATTTTTACCCCATAAAACCCCCCATAAACCGATCGTGCTGGTTCGCAAACTCATTCAAGTTTATCCCACCTTTTACATAACATTTTACTACAAAATTTTTTCTTAACATAAACATGCCTTTTTTTACAGTAGACTCAATCTTATCTGGATTCCTCGGGACTGAGGCCAGTTCGGATAACGGTTTTTCTGGTTGAACCGACGTCCCCAAAATCTTGTTAAAACGGACTGTTTAAATGCGTACTGCTTACAGTATTTGACTTAAATTTAAGAGAGCATTGTTTTAGCGAATTTCCCTATAGGGAAGTAGCTATTACCGTAGGTGGCACGGTAAGACCTAGACCCGGGACCGATTTACTTTTTCATTTTGATGTCCCCAGAGGCCAAAAACACCATTCGTTCAAATTTTTATATATGTATATACTGTATATATATATATATATAGACTTATATATCATATACTAGCTGTAACCCGCGGGCTTTGCCCCGTTTAACTTCTTAATTTTCAAGATTATCTCGTTCGCATGGCTCATTCACGTCCTGGTTGAAGTTTGTTCGCTACGCTCACTCACCTTTAGGTTGGAGCTCGTTCGCTACGCTCACTCACCTTTAGGTTGGAGCTCGTTCGCTGCGCTCACTTGCCTTCAGGTTAGCTCGTTCGCTACGCTAACTCGCCTCCAGGTTGAAGTTCGTTTGCTACGCTCACTCACCTTTTGGTTGCAAATTAGCTGTTGCCATAAATGTAAAAGAAATAATAGTGCTGCACCCTGTTGGTAATCCTTGTAACTTTAATGCTATTGAACATCATAGAACAGAACCAACTTGTTTAATTGAAACAGCTGTTAAGATTCAATAATTCCATTTGTCATAAGGTTAACATGGGAAACTCCAAAGCCACTGGGGCGGAGCCCAAAAGGATTTTTGAAATAAGAATATGCCTATATGTTAATCGGGAATGTGAGCTATCATCATGCCAAATTTCAGCCCAATCCGACCAGTATTTTTCGTGTTCACTTGTCACAAACATACATCCATCTATACATCCATACATCCAAACTTTCTCATTTATAATATTATTAGTAGGATATATATATATATATACGTCCCTGAACTTGAGTAATTTTTGTCCGATTTTGATGAAATTTGGTTTAAAGGTGTAAAGCGGGATAAACTTGAATGAGTTCGCAAACCAGCACGATCGGACCATGGGAACGGGGCTTTACGGGGGGTTTTATGGGAAAAATTTGATTTTTCTCACTTTTGACCCTCAAAACACAAAATTTCTCGATTTCTCTTTAGACCTTTTTAAAGAGCTTAAAAAAACAAATAATTTAGTATATAAAAGAATTTTTGTTCGATTATTAGTAACGGAGAAAATTTAAAAAATTTTAAATTTAAAATTCCCATGTTATTCTTATGGAGAATATTGTAAAATGTTGTAGTTTGCTTGTTTATGGATATATTTTGATCAAACTTGGCAAATTTATTTATTTTGTTCTTAGCTATCAATATTTTCCTCAAAAACACACTTTATTAGTTTCATTAAGCTGACCCGGCGAACTTCGTATCGCCTAAGTTATAGGTTTCCCCTAAGACAGACCGAGGGAAAGAAAGTACCGTTACGTTTAATTTTCAAGATGATCTCGTTCGCATCGCTCAATCACGTCCTGGTTGAAGCTCGTTCACTACGCTCACTCACCTTTGGGTTGGAGCTCGTTTGCTACGCTCACTCACCTTTAGGTTGGAGCTCGTTCGCTGCGCTCACTTGCCTTCAGGTTAGCTCGTTCGTTCGCTACGCTCACTCACCTTTGGGTTGGAGCTCGTTCGCTACGCTCACTCACCTTTAGGTTGGAGCTCGTTCGCTGCGCTCACTTGCCTTCAGGTTAGCTCGTTCGCTACGCTAACTCGCCTCCAGGTAGAAGTTCGTTTGCTACGCTCACTCACCTTTTGGTTGCAAATTAGCTGTTGTCATAAATGTAAAAGAAATAATAGTGCTGCACCCTGTTGGTAATCCTTGTAACTTTAATGCTATTGAACATCATAGAACAGAACCAACTTGTTTAATTGAAACAGCTGTTAAGATTCATTAATTACATTTCTCATAAGGTTAACATGGGAAACTCCAGAGCCACTGGGGCAGAGCCCTTTTAAGAATTTCGAAACGGGAAATAGTTTTGTTAAAGTATTGATTCAGTGGGAGCTAAGCCTCGACGGGGAATGTTGTGTCGCTCGCCGTCTTTTATGCCAGTTTTATGTTTCAATCTGGTATAATTTGTTTTTTGATCCGACATTTTCATCGGTGGTGGGGACTGAACCAAATTTAGTGTAGTGTGAGGTTTTGTCTTAGATTTAGTGAAATTCAATAGAATAACAAATTACTGTAGTATAGCATTGTGGAAGGAATCTAACCTCAAAATTGTTCTTTACGCCTTTTTAATGGTATTTTTTTATGGCTTATACGGGGTTTTCGCCCTTGCTTTTTCCCTCCATTTAGCAATACTGGGGGTCCTGCTAGCAGTTTAGTAATGCTGCTATCTATTGGGTTAATGTAAAACTACGTCCACAACAACAGGAACATAGTACATGCTACAATATGACTCTCCTTTGGATTAAACCCATTTTAAATGTTTTCGCACACTCAACCACACACCGCATCAGCCACCGGCCGCTGCTGTCATCACGCAACTGCACTGTACGTGTTAATAGCCTTCAGTACTCATAATACCTTGAGTATAATCCTGCATCCACAAATAGAAAAATGTAACAAATTCAATGCTTTGGGGATCAATAAAATAAATTGCAACAAATTGTGATAGCTTTTACATTGGACAAACTGCAAACTTAATTAAATGTTTCAAAAACCTAAGCCAATATCATCTGCATTGAAAAGAAACAAACCGGAAGAATCAAATGTCACACAAGACTTGTTACAAAATAGCCACTCATTGGGGAAAATGGAAGATTATCTATTTATTTTAATGAATAAGAAAGGAATTGTGATTAATTTTTGTGAAGAATTGTATATTTATAAGGAAAATGTAAAGATATAAATAAGCTGATTAATTTCAAAGATGAGAAAATAAAGTTACTTATTAAATTATTATTATTATTATTATTATCATGATTATTATTATATCATAGGTATTTATATTATTATTATTACTTATTATTTACTAATTTCAAATTTTTGTTAGAAACTATTTACATTGTTATTACTCTTATTAAACAAGTGGTTCTCTTCTGTAGGTCCCATCAGCCCTGCAGAGATCCAGCCTATATTTCTCCCTCAAGGTGGAGAGAAACAACCAGAAGAACATATGAAATTTTTCCTGGACGCTCTATTAGAATTTATGGTTACACAAGTAAGTACATATTAAAAGATATATTTTAAACTGCTACATTTTAGCAGGTAGAGTTCTTATATCTTCCTTCTTTTTCAGATGAAAGTAAATACAGGGGTTGAAAAAAAGAACCCTTCAGGACTTGGGGATATGGATGGACCCTCATTCCAAAATAAAGAAAAATGTTTGTGTGAACGTATGTCTGAAAATGCTGAACCACGCCCTCGTGCCTGCACCCAGGCTAACGACTTGGAAGCGTGATCCATGCGCAGGCCCGAGGAGCGGCTCACAAAACTTTACTTAACAACATGAGAAAATGGGAAACTAGCTACCAAAATTGTCCAACGATCCTGATACTAGGTTCCAGACCCAGTGCAACATGTGCTTACGGCACATTTAACCTAAGTTTCATAAAATGGTCCAAAACTTACCCATCATGGTGCCGGTGGCACGAGAGACTACTCCATCATTTAAAAGGTATCCACAGCAATTTAAAAATCATCAAAAAACAAGTAATTGAAAATACAAAACTTGGATGATAGTGGATAAAAGTAGACGGACGATGTAGTCAGAAACACGGTCACGCAACCTATGACACTTGATGGTGGGAGTAAGAAGAACATGACACACAGCCTCCTTGAGGGTCGTTGGAACAGTAAACAAGGCGAACAACTAAACTACTATACAAAAAACACTTTGACCGTGGATTATGATTCGTGACATTCGCCGGTGGAAATTAGTCACGGCTCAATGCATATTTACCCAGATATCCGTATTTTTTTTGTACACAAACATTTTTATCTTTAAAGTTTTTCAAACGATAGTTATGAAATTTGGTATGCACATGACAGTTAAAAAAACCCTATTTTAGGAAAAAAAATTACTTTGGTCTAATTTGAAATTTTAAAATGGCGGCAAAATATATCTTAATAACTTAAACTAGGCTACAAAAAACTGTATTTTATGAAAAAATATCAAGAATGATTTTATTTAGCATTTAAAATTCTGTAATAAACGACACCAAGATCAAAAATGGAATGACAAATACCTGAAATATCACGTTTTTTAGTTGTAGCCTTATCTTAGGCCTTATAGTTGTAGCCCAACTTCATTTGTCCTTACTTATTTTACAGCCTTATTTTACACCAAAAACTGTTGGATTTCAAATATTCGTCATTCGATCTTTTTAGTCTTGGTGTCTTTGATTAATAGAGAATTTTAAATGCTAAATAAAAAATCCTTTAAATTTTTTCATAAAATTGTCCGTTTTTTAATAGTTTATGTTATAAAAAACTAAAATGGTCGCCATTTTCAAATTACAAATTAGACCAAAGTAATTTTGTTTCATAACTTAGGCTTTTTTTACTAACATACCAAGTATCATAAATATCAGTTGAAACATTTTAAAGATAAAAATATTTATGTATGAAAAACAAAATGGATATCTGGGTAAATGCATTTTTGGACGTACCTTCACATGAACTTTTTTCTTTATTTTGGTATGAGGATCCACACCCCCAAGTCCTGAAGGGGTTTCAACACCCTGTTTAACGCTCCGAGTGTCATGCGTCGCTGCAGCGACGCGTAACACACTTTGGGTAGTGTCATGCGTCGCTGCAGCGACTCACGAGCACTGTTTACAGCGAAGGCTCTATGACTGACAAAATCGGATTGAACTGGATCGAGTTAGGTATCGTTCTTTTCGTTATATTCTAAGCTTTCTCCAGAGGTCTGTCTCTAAGCGCTTTATGTTCTCCGAGCCGATCGTAATTGTAGCAGACAGCTGACGTGCGTATTTGTAAACAGGTTAGTTAACCTCGGACCGATGACTGATGTGTTTTATTATGTTTATCATTGTTTTAGTGTTAAAAATCAAAAGTAGTGATATACGTGGTGCATTATAAGAAGATTTAAGTGATTTTGAAGGACTGGTTGATGATCCTGAAGAAGTAGGTAGTGATATTGATGTAAATTATTAGCCAGATTCCTAGCTATGGTTAGGCTATGCATTCTTAGCTAAACGCTATGTACCAAAATTGGTTTTTTGCCCATAACTTATTTATTTGATAACTTACCTCACTATATGATTATATATTTGTAATCCTCATAAAATTTAGAACAAAGTGGCTATTTTCAAATATTTATAGGCCTATAATTTATACAATTTCGTTGAGCGCAAACTTATTTTTTTTTTCAATTTTTCCAAAATAATTTTTATTTTTACCTAAAAAAAATTTTTTGAAACAAATATTCCTTAGGTTTTATGTATGATATTGAAGCCCATGATTTTCCAAACAAAATGGTATATAGAACAGTAGAATTAACATTGTTTTAAGCTTTTCAGATCCGTTTTAATAAAACCTTGCAAATGCGCCAAAAATAGGCGGAAATTAAGGCCTAAACTATGAACACTCGGAGGGATATATACTAGATATAATTTACTAGATATTTCTTACCTTCACATGAACTTTTTTTATTTTGGTATGAGGATCCACATCCCCAAGTCCTGAAGAGGTTTCAACACCCTGTATATATACTAGATATAATTTACTAGATATTTTTTGTTACCACAGCCTGAGGATCTGGGCTTGAAGCTGTGAAGCTGTCTTTATCAAACAAAGTATTAATTGTTTACTTACCTCGTGAAGTTAATGCACTATCATGAGTTATTAAGATTACCAGGATTACCCATTTTTTGTTTGTGTCAAAAAAGTAAATTATTTGTAAGTACCGTAAGCAAACAAAAAACCGAAGAAGAATAGACTCAAGGAAACTCATGTTTGTGTCCAGGTTTCAAGACTAGAGTGGCGAGACAAAGTCTACAAGCAACATAAATGCTTTATGTTTTTGTTTGAGCGTTTCAAGATGTATTACCTGCCTCATATGTTCCCCACATTTTCATCGGCAACTAGTCTCTACAAGCCTGTTCTAGGTTTGTATTTAGCAACACCTCATTGAATTTGTATTAAATTATGCAACCTCCACCCTCTACAAACTAATATAAGTAGGGATCTTCAAACTTGTTGAGTGTAACTTGGGGAGGTTTTGCAGATATAAGGATTGATTTATGTATGATTTAACTCTACTTTTCTAGCTATCAATGAAATCATGCTATTGTTTTTTTAGGATTATTTGTTGTGGTTATTGAGTAGCCTATCAGAAGTCTAAAAATTCGCTAATTACAAAAAAAACAAAAAACATCCTCTTATTGTCCTGGATGACTTCCATAGCAATAACTATCAATATTAGTTTCACACACTTACAAATTCCTACAAGGGTACAAACTGTGTACTCACTGATGATAGTGTCGTACTATTTGTACTCTGAAAATCAGGGATGGACGAGCTTGAATTTTTAGTTCAGAATGGGACAGGATTTTTCCGTCAACATATCTTGCGGTCACTGCGCAAGATGTCTCGCGGTCACGGCGACAACATTAACAAGACTTTCACAACTGTCTCCTTGGTTTGGGAAACTATTGTGAAAATTGCTCACAATTGCGGGGACATCATCATTGTCACCAGCAATTGCAAAGATGTCATCATCCTCATTTGCAGAATGGCGAAATTGCTGAGGACTCGAACAAATCCCGTCCCGAAAAGTCCTGAATCATCCTACTAATATTATAAATGAGAAAGTTTGGATGTATGTTTGTGACAAGTAAACGCGAAAAATACTGGTCGGATTGAGCTGAAATTTGGTGTGATGATAGCTTATATTCCCGGTTAACATATAGACGCATTCTTATCTCAAAAGTCCTTTCGGGCTCCGCCCCAGTGGCTCTGGAGTTTCCCATGTTAATCTTATAAGTAATCATATTTGAAAGGAATTAAATAATTTCGTCAGCTGTTTCAAATCACAAGTTGGTTCTATGATATTAAATAGTATTAAAAAGTTATAAGGTTTACCAACAGGGTGCAGTACTATTAAATTTAATATAAAACTTCAGTAGGCTATAGAATATTACAACAAATGTTAAGATCAAAATGTTTCTATTTTGTGTCCTCTCCCCGTTGCAAGGCAGGGGTACAACAGCTAGTATATAATATAATCTTTAGTAATATGACAGATGCTAAAGATACGCTGATTGCTAAAATGCACTTTTTTGAATTTAGCTATGAAATCACTACCTGGATTCGATCTTATCTCATCGACCGACTGCAGGTTACTAGACTTGGAAATGAGACATCAGAACCCCTCGTCAAACAACGGGTTGTTCCTCAAGGCAGCTGCTTGGGCCCTGTTCTCTATACACTTTATACAGCTGACTTCCCTAGCTGTGTACAATACTCTTTGGCACATTTGTATGCAGACGATTCTCAGTTGCACTTGCCTTTTGAGCCTGTTTTCATGAAATAAGCAATTGGCAAATTCAATGCTGGCCTGGAGAGCATCTCCAAGTGGTCATTTGTCAATGGGCTCAAACTGAACCCTGATAAAGACCCTGTCTTGCATACAGCGCCTCTGGACCAAGTGCAGACCTTGAGAGATGCTGGAGTGTCTGTCTGTCTTGACGGCCGGAGTCAGGTAGTGTGTGAGAAGGCAAAGACTCTTGGCGTTGTGATTGACAGAGACCTGAATTTCTCAGATCATGTCACCTTTGTTTCCCAGCACGCCTTTGGGAGACTAAGAGGTTTGTATAGGTTCAGAGGCTTGTTGCCTGAGGCTGCAAAACTTCAGCTCGTGCAGTCACTAATACGGTCAGTATTCTACTACTGCTTCCCTGCATATGGCAACAGCATTTCTCGGGAAGACATGTATCGGTTGCAATGTCTGCAAAACTGCACAATCCGTTTCATTTTCTGTTTGAAAAATTTTGATCATGTCTCTCCCTTTCAAGAAGTTCAAACATCTTCAAGTGAAAGCAACTCACATTTCAATAAAAAATAAAACTTATAACGACAAAACACCGAAACTAAACAAACACAACGCGAAATAAACAACAACAGACGCTGGTAATAAGCGATTGCTTCATCATGACAATGTCGTCAGCTGATGCTTTATTATTTATAGAGTTTTAAGTTTTCCCAAAGGCGTCCAAATAGTTTAAATGCACATCAATTGACAGATTATTAATTTCTGAACCAAATAAATTCTATATTAAGTGAAATTTGTTTTATTTTCGTGCAAAAATCTGCGATTTCCGTTACTGGGCGCTGCCATTTCGGCCACGGCGTAAATCGCCCGATATCGGGCGCATGCCAGCTCGAGGGTTAAAAAAAACTTAAGGATATGTTTTTAAAAAATTTGTAATTTGAAATTTGTAAAATTTGTAAGCCTAAGTGTATAACGGCCAAATAGTAGAATAAGATATTTAGCATAGTGACGAAGTTGTTCTGAAAAGCTGGTGTACCAGAGAAACGCTTGATAAAGACATTTTTTATTTATTTATTTATTTATAATACCGGCTCGATGATCAAAAATATATTTTCCCCAAAAATTTCTCCAAAATTTTAGGATCCATATCAACCGAAAATCTAACAGCAGCATTCCAATTCTATTCTTAAAAGAAAAAAGAAGCCTACAGTATAACATTTTAAATTTACTCTAAACCAGATAAAGCTAATAATTATTAAAGATGAGTTTGCAGAAAGTATTACAAATAGGATGGTCATTTAGTTTTGCTATTAAAGTCTGCTATACCTGTTAATTAATTTATTTTTATTTTTGTGTTTTTTAACAATCTAATTTTACAGTAGCAACAAATCAAAAAGCCTAAAATTAATTTTTAAGAGCAATCTGACACATACTTTCTCCCATTAGCTTGTGAACAACATTTATCATGAATAAGCGGTGGGAGTAACTATGATATTTTATAGGAAAAATATCAAAAGTTGCAATGACATTCAAACCGTAATTTTTTTAGCAATGGGGGGTTGGACTATTTTTTTTTAATTTTTAAAGACCATAACATATTAATTGCAATTAAAACCGGCTTTTTCCCTAAAATCTATTTTTCTTGTTTTACCGAATTTCCTATATAGGCAATAAGCTATTACCGTAGTAACCCGTTCTACGTACGGGAATCCTGTAGTAAGTTGAACCTTATATTCGGAACAGGAGTTGGTTTGCATTAGTGTGCATTTTTCCAGATATGCTAGCAAAACTATTACTGTATAGGAATACATATAAACCTTCGTAAATACAATATCTGACAGTTTCAAAGCCAAAACGAATGCTTCGCAACTAAACGTCACCTGATCGTGTTAGTCCATATTTTATATCTAATGATAAAAAGAATTGCTTTATAGATCTATGAGGCATAGCCCTAAGGTAGGCCTGTAATTGAAAGTTACTTTTCACACTGGTTAAAAGTAGTTAAAATACTACCTCAACCTCACTACTGCACACTTTATTCGGGTTGAAATTTTCATTAACAAAGGTGCTCTGGTGCTCTTGTCTTTTCCACGAAACACTGAGAAATAAGGACATTAATGTGTTACCAACAGACATACACACACAAATACAGAATTGAATTGGGGAATTTGCTACGCTTTAACCAAAGTAAATGACAAACAAAATAACTATTTGAAAGTTTTGATAGTGTCATCAAGTTTTATGAAAATAGTTTTTAGGCCTAATCAAACTGTAAAATTGGTGTAATTCCGTTGGCAAATATATAAATAAGTAAATAAATACACAGTCCACAAAACATTGATACGTTAACAACGTAAAGCTTTAAAAATTCATGGTTTGCTAAAAAAATATTTCACTAATGTTTTATCATTTTCATAGCATAAATTAACATTTTGGAGTCCAGACAGAAAACGCAAAAATTATACAGTTAGACATCAATTAATTTTAATAAGAAATAAGGTGCAGCACTAATGATAAATATAGTTGTAAATAGTGATGTGTTTGTACGTAAAAATCAAACTGTCCTTCTAATCAAACTGTATTTTAGGTGTTAATCCGTTGGTAATTATATAAATAAATAAATACACGGGCCACAAAACATGTAACATGTAACGTTAACAACGTAAAGCTTTAAAAACTCACTATGGTTTCTAAAAAAAACTTTCACTTGATGTGGTGCAGTACCGAAGTTATTAATCTCCCTTGGTTTCAATTTTTTTTTTCGAAAATCAAAGTTATTTCCCATTAATAGTATTATTTGTAAGCAACTTTAAATGTTAACATATTAATGACAGTTTGAAGAAACCACCTTTATCAAAATAAAGGTTTCTTAAGATTACGTAGTCTCTAAACGACAATCGGTACATAAATCTAGCGAACATTCGGAAGAAATGTGACAAAAAACGCACAAATCTGGGGTTTTGGATGTTTGTAGTTTTACTTCCTAAGTAGGAAAAGTACCGATATTGTTGTCGAAATGTAAGTAATTAGAAACCAAAAGTGACACATTGGAAAAGCGAGTTTAGCTACATCTGTAAGTTAAACCTCTGTTACGATCACAGCGAAATCAGAAAGATCTTCCAAGTTCGCAGCAACATCCACGATCACCCACTACAGTTGTGATTTTTTACTTTGCACTTTACGACACAACTGTCCTTGAAGCGCCGTCAATGAGTGGAAACCTTTTTTGTAAGCTATTAATGACAATGATTAAAAAAATGTAAGTTTCTCAGCATTACTACAACACTGATTCATGGTATTTTCCCCGGTTATCAAAACTCAAGAACAATCGTTGCACTTGCGATTAATTAAACCGGTTAAGTAAGGCACAACGTTTTTAATCTCACTTTGTTTGGATGTGCTTACAAAACTTGATCGGAAATGGTTGCGGTATTTGTAAACAACTCTTAATGCAAACATATCAGTGACAGCTAGAAGTGAGAACTAATCCAAACAGCTGATCGTTATTTCATAAAATGTAATGGTAAACATTGGGAAAAATTTGACAAAAATCTAACAAAATTGGGTTTTTGATGGTTCGTTATTTTCAAAGAAGCGAGGCCATGTTTTTGTAGC